ACACACACACACACACACACACACACACACACACACACACACATATATATATACACACACACACACATACACACACCGACATAAAGCGCAAAAATTTATCACATAAAAATAGGAAAATTTTGTATTATTTAAAAATAACTCATTTTTCAAATTTTTGAGAATTTTCAAATTTTCCACCATTACAATGAGGTAAATATCAATATATTGCAACTGAATCAATTTAATACAAATAAAGAAAAAGAGAGAGAGAAAACTTTATTCGTTGCAATAATTAGTTAATATTATAATATTATAGCAGAATACTATAATAGATAATTTAATATTAATAGAACATCAATTTTAGGTGACGTGAATAAATAATAATAATATGTAAAAAGAAATGTGTTTTATTCTTGTCCCCATTTTTTAAACACTTAAAGATATTTTAGTTTTAAATTTTTTTAATAGACAAAACACTATGTGTTTGGATTTAAAACGCTTATCTAAATCTTAAAATTAAACACTTTTTTTCAATGAAATGAAAAGTGTATTATAAATGAAAGAGTATTATGAGGCACTAAAAGTCTTAATTGAATGAGGTCACTTATTATCTATCCGTAATTTACTATCATAAATTAAATTAATTAAAAGCAGCTAAAATATATTACAATACATAATATAATGATTAGAAGTTAACTATGAACTACCTATTAATGATGCACAAAGACTTGTACCAATGTAAATATTATTTAAAATGTAAGAAAAATTAATATCATTTTTAATAAATAATTTTTTCTAAATTTGATTTTTTGCTTTTATTGAAATAATTTGTCGGGGACCGATTTCATGACCTGATTTCTGTGAAACCGAAGGATTGGACCATGGCATTTCTACATTGGCATTTCTACATGGCATATGCAATTTCTTCTTAGACATCTTCCTCCGCCAATTTCTGCAATATTTTAATGAAAAAGTAATTAAGAAAATTTACCTCTAACCCATTCGATGCAAAAAATCACGCAAGTTTCGCAATACAATCTTGCAAAAAAGGGAAACTATACTTCCATGATATCAATAACGTTTCTTTAGACATTGCGCCGAAATAGATACACACGCGCGCGCGTGTGTGTGTGTGTGTGTGTGTGTGGGTATGTGTGTGTATGTATATAGTTTATATTCCCATATAAATAATCTCCCCTTTTTATCTCGTAAACTAATAGAAATAGGCTTAATAAATATATGAAACTCTAACTAAATTCTATTATAAGTACAGTGATTACTGAGAAAAATGATTTATATTAGAAAACGAAGAAATATGCATAATTTTTGCACGATAAAGTAAATATTTTGATATAATAAAAATTGTAGAATCCATTCTAATGAGTACAACGATGTATTCGATGAACAATTTTATATTATTTAAAACTTGTGATTTCTTATATGAACTTATATGTACCTAGATTGAATTGATTAATTTCAAAGATAATATAAATTCATAATTTTCAAGAATCTAAATAATAAAATGTTATAGAAAAATATTTTACTTAAATATTCTAAATTGAATATTTTTCTGTAACACTCGTATTTAATGAAAATACAGCAAATTAAGATATGTTTGCAATATGACATTATCTAAAAGTATTATTTTACACATTTCAGTATAAAATTATTATTTGATCATTATTAGGTGGACATTACCGAACTTTGCCCATCAGCCACTGTACTAGCACAACAATTGACTCATGTAGAACTTGAAAGACTGTCTTACATTGGGCCTGAGGAATTTGTGCAGGCTTTCGCCAAAGTAAGTTTATTTCGAAATAAAATTACAATTTTCTTACATCTGAGTTATGTTATAAATACTTTTATAGCAATTTAATATTTTTATCACAATTATATATTAAATACTATTAATTTTATTATTCTGTCAGGAGTCTCCGCATTTAGAAACATCTTTCAAAGATATGAAGAAAACCCGGAATCTCGAATCGTACGTTCAATGGTTTAATAGACTGAGCTACTTTGTAGCGACGGAAGTTTGTAAGGTATGATACCTTTATATGAATATTCATTGCACATTTTGTGTATAATTTTTATTACTTATTACTTAATCTTATTTTTATTATTTAATCAAAATTTTTTAATAATAATACAAAAATATATTTCTCAAATTTGTCAAAAGGATGACAAAAAGTGCTAGACATTTTATAATAAGTTTCTCCTTTTTTCAGCACGCAAAGAAGAAGCAACGCGTTCGTGTCGTCGAATACTGGATTGAGACTGCTCGTGAATGTTTCAACATTGGCAATTTCAATTCTTTAATGGCGATCATCGCTGGCCTCAATATGTCCCCGATATCTCGCTTGAAAAAAACAGTAAGAAGGAACATATACATTTCTTTTCACTTTTGATAGTATCTATGCTTATTTTAAATATTGGAAGAAAAAATAATACACATTTATAGAATATCTTATATTTTTATTAAATCGTATAATAGGAAATTGTAAAGACAATTCTAAATTTATATATAGTTACCTTCAACATTATAAATATTTTCTATAACCAACATATATGTATATTGAATCGACGTAATTGCTTTACAAATTTTATTAAAATTTTGGAGTAACGAGTTCCATTGCGTTCGGCAAATTGAAATCGGTATCGATACATTTTATTCGCTCGGGACAATGCATGCATATACAATACATATATGTATCTCTCAATTTTTCGATCACCTCAGCAAGAGCTATTTGAAAAGTGCGAATATTCGTAAATGGTTAGCGTCGACGCATTTTTTGTGTTAGAATGTAATGTCAGGAAAAGAGGGGAAATAATGGTGAAATAACACAAGCGGTATATCCATTCGTTTACACCTCTTTGCGGAATTGCACGTCAGAGCAATAAACGCTCTTCTCTCCCCTAATCGATAGTAGTACTCTATGATGTTTAACATTGAGTATAACAAAATACCGAGAGTTAAATTTTCGCACTATTTCTCTATAAAGAAAAAAGCTATTAAGAACAAAGGAAAAAATTATTTTGATTATACTTTTGCATATATAATCGACTTAATTCAAGATAAATAAACCATTAAAACTCTTGTCTCATATAATAGTATTAATTTTAGTTTTCAAATGATAATTTAACTTAATTTTGTACTTCACAGAAATTAGTTTTATGAAGTTGTTTCCAGTGTAGGTATCATTGATAAAGTAGATGTTAGACAATCGCTGTTGACAAAAAGAAAGCGAAGGCAGAGCAATCGAATTAGCTTGATTGAATTTTTCCTATCGCGATTGGCACCGCAGAAAAGACACGAAATGTAACTCGCGATTTGAGTTAATTAAAAAGTTTCAAGTCAAACGGCGTTGCTCGGCAACGTTGTCCTCGCGCTATTGCCGTTCCTTTCGCCTCGTTGGGAATTAACTAATTGCCCGACCAGCGTTCCACGTCCACGAGGGAGAACTCGCACTATTACGTATTCTCGATTTCCACGCGGGTACACTCCATCCTTTAATCCAGTCGTCGTTCCCGGCGGAACGCTCTCTCGGACGTTTCCGAAAGCTTCCATATATTTAATATTTATTTCGACGATAATGATAGAGCAAGATGTATTTCTTACGAGAAGAAATGATCTATAATAACGGTTCATAATTACATAATAAGAAAGTTATTATAGAAAATTATTTAAAAATCTCTAATATTTGCATAAATTGAATAGATTATACCAGATTGAAATTTTTTGGTATTATAATTTTAAAATGTATGAAAATTATTCAAACGACAATGAAACTAAGCGGCAAATGAGAATCACGCATAGGTATTGGAGTGCATGTAATAATATCATTCAATTTGAATGCAGATTAAATTTAATAAGAAAGAAAATAATGTTAAAATAATTTTAAATAATAATGGTAGTAACAATATATTTAATACTTACACAGATAAAAAAAAACATCTTTGCGTGATATTCATTGATAAAAATACAATTTGTGATGATCATGATTTCAAAAGAGTTTATGTTAATAAAAGTGAACTCTGAATAAACATCAGATTTCTATTGTGTATTATATATGCAAATTAAAGTAATCAGCTATATCAGAAACTGTAAATAAATATAATTACAATAACTTATCACTAATAATGAGAAGCTAGAAACTAATTAGCTAATTAGCTAAATAGAAACTAAAAAGCATAGAATGACTTTGAATCTTGCAATAACAATTTGCAAACAAAGAGAAATTCGGATTGGCAACTGAACAATCGCAAACTGATGTTGTTTTTTGCATTATTATTCGTATTATTGTCATCACAATTTCGCACTTTTCTTCTAGCGCCGATCGTTATTAAATTCGAATCTATTTATATAAAAAGTAATTTTATAACTAACCAAATAAAGATAAGAAGAAAACAATATTACTCGTTTCGATATTATTCGATGTGAAACGAAATGACGTCGATGAAAAAAAAAACAAATGTGTCTATCACGAGTGGAAAAATAGAAGAACAGGCACAACGTGAATTTTTTTATATCTCTCATATGATGAATAAAAAATAATCGAAACACGTATTATTCGTAGAATCTCTCGTTCGAAAATGCTTCCTTGTCATTATCGTACCCTATTCTAATTTATTTTCTTAATTTTATCTCAAAATTTATCTGTAGTTTTTCACATTTAAACAAGGGGACATGATATTGAGAATAATCGCATTGGCAAATAATTTTTCTGAATTCATTACGAATGGAGCATTGTAATAAATCTTGCATTTTTTTTAGATTTAGAGCATTTTTTAAGAGTCAAAGCTTATTGTTAAAATTTTAATAGATATTGAATGAAAATGTTTCATAATTAAAAGATAAATATACTTATAAATATATCCACAAAAGAAACGGGTCACTGTTAGAGTTATCCATTTTTAGTAAGTATATTTTTACGGTGTATAGAAAACAAATGTTTTTCTTGCAAAATTTTAAATTAAAATTTATCGAAAAAATTAAATTAAAAATAAAATACGACAAGCGCCTTGACGGTCAAACTTAAATGTTGAATTAATACTTATACGTATTCTTATTTAAATGAATTTATTTCAGAAATATGATTGTATACCATTACTATCGATCTTTCAACGCATTTCATTTTAAATATTAATAATCCTCCAAATTTAATCTTGAAAAACTGTAATAAACTTATTACGAAAAAGATTACCCTGAAAGTCAAACCCGAATCTCTAGTACGGAATGCTAACAATATTATAAGAATACATATAGATATTAATTCAACATCTAACTTTGACCGTCAAGTGGCGCTTCTTGTGTTTAAGTGATTCCATAAAATGATTTAATTCCAATTTTATTATTATCATATGAAAATAAAATATTTATTTAATTTTGAATATTTTAATTATTGTAAAAATTGCAAAAATCTCAAAATCTGAAAAACTCAATACATTTACATATAAATGATGTATATTTTTATAATAAAATACTTATATAATAACAAATACTTTCATATATCTCTTATTATATATTTTTTTATTTAAATAAAAATAAAAGTTGGTAAATTGTTGCACACTTCATAGCAAAAAATAAAATAATCTTCTCATTCTCTTTTTAATAACACAATCATGCCGCGAATCGAATCAAGAAAAATATCGAACTATGGAAAACTATTTTCTCGTTTTCAATTACAAGTTTAATTAACCGTTTTTTCTTTTCTTTTCTTTTTATTTTCTTCTTTCTTTTCTTCTCTCTTCTTTTCTCCTTTTTCTCTCTCTCTCTCTCTCTCTCTCTCTCTCTCTCTCTCTCTCTCTCTCTCTATCGTACGGACGTATAATGTTTAATAAGCCTCTTGTGCTATTTACAACGTTTATTTGATTCAATCAATTGATTTATATAGAAGGTGGGCGAAATAATTGTTAAAATTTTCAACAAACAATAGTACTGTCAGTAATGCACAGGATTTACTCGATAATTTTCGTTAATGAAAATTTAACGCTCTCTACTTTTGTGCAGACATATGACTGGAACTCCATTTATGTACAAAAGCATCTATGAAATGTTTCATGGTAATTGGATCGTCGGCAACTAATTAATTTTTTTATACACGCAAGATAATTGAGAATAACGCAATTATATACTTTAAATTTTCAATTTTTCTATCTAACACAAATATCTTTATTGAAGATAATACAATTATCTTTATTGAAGATTATGTTAATTTAAAAAATTTTTCACTTCGCGCACACACACAAAAAATTAATAACGTTTGTTCACAATTTGTTCGATTTTCCGTTTGTTTCGTTTTATTACTGAATATAACTTATGTTTATAATTTTATTTGTTCAATGATGAAGTTTTTATTTTACAAATATTTTTTATACTTAAAATCAAATTTAAAATTAAAGTTCTTAAATTATAAAAATTTTTATAATTTAAAAATTATAAATATACAAATACGTGAAAATGATATAGATGATTGCTTGAAAAATAATAACAGAGAATCATAAAATGTAAAAATTTACACATATAACAAATCTTCATATCAAAACTTGTCCTAAAAGCAAATACTATTAAAATTTTGTGTATAATATATATTTTTATATTTATGTGTATTATATTATATTATATTATAAATAAAATACATCTTATTGCATAATTTATAAAACTGAAATACATATCGGATATTACACATTTCAAAATATCAATATACTTCTAAAAAGTAAATACTATCATTTCCTTATTATTTGCATCTCCTGCATCTTATTAATCCTGTTATTTTGCTGATCTTTTTTTTGCAAAAAGAGTAGATCCTATTCTTTTCATACGATAGTATTCCGACATCTTTTCCGGTGCAACCAGTTTCAATTTACCGGATCTGGCAGAAGTCCCTGATTGCTACTGTTTTTGCTCTAGACGAGCATTTCCGGTGGAGTCGGGCTAAGAAAAATGGCTCTCACGACAAGCAAGCAGAAGTCTCTGAAGCTCAAGTATCTATGAGACAGGGATCAGAAGTCAAATCTTGACGGACAAAATAAGATTTTGAAATAGAAATTTATTTACAGGATAGATAATCCACTAATTATAAACATGCGTTTAAATTTGAATTTTTTACTTAAAAAATATATATATACACAGTTTATGCATAATATTTTCAAAATAAAAAGAAAGAAATAAAAAGTAAAAAAATTAAAAATATATTTATCAATATCAAAAAATTTTTGAAAAATAAGAAGACTAAGAAAGAATAAAAACATTTCAATCATAAATCTAAAAATTATTTAAATCAGCCATTATCCATTAACTATCTATATCTATATATAACAGTATTCTTAAACAAAGCTTCACACCAGAAGATCAATATGTAACATTTTACTTAGAGTGAAAATGTGAAAAGTAAAAATTTTATTGTATATGTATATTGTATATGTATATTATGTAAATACATACGTACATACATACACATATATATAATTTTTACTTTTCACATTTCCGCTTAGGGAAAAAATTATGCAATTAAATCGATAGAAATTAAATAAATTTGAACTTTGAAACAACAGCTCAGATACAATATATGTTATGTTGCACGATACTAACGTAACATAAAGACATATAATAGAGTGATTGCAATTGCTCTAACTTTTATTTTTTTTTATGTTATATAAATCCTCGCGCGGCGTAAATACTGGAGTTTTATTATATATTTTTATAATTTTCAGTGGTCAAAGATACAATCTGCCAAATTTTCGATTTTGGAACATCAGATGGACCCAAGCAGCAATTTCAGTAGTTATCGTAGCACATTGAAAGCCGCAATGTGGCGTAGTGCTGGCGCTACAGATGAACGTCAGAGAATCGTAGTGCCCTTTTTCAGCCTTCTCGTTAAGGATTTGTATTTCCTCAACGAGGGCTGCAGTAATAAGTAAGTAATATTAAATATTGTAATCTATTCGTATATTCGTATAATTTTACAGTATAATTTAAATTATGTACATAATATACATATTTTTTTTAATTAATTATAATTATAAAACCTCATATACATATATCACAGATACATATAATAAGTAATTATATACATGCTGCACTTTTATGCTATTTAGTGCGTCTATATACGTATACAACACATACACAATATAAAACATATATAATATAATATAAATAAACATATATAATATAAAATATGCATGGAATGCTTATCGTATAATAGTAAGTAGTTTATATAATTTTTTAATTTGTAAATATCAATGAAATTGGCACTTCCAGTAGTATATGGAAATCATCATGTCTTTTATAATATTAGGAAAAAATCTTGTTAACTATTTAAAATAATTAGTTATCTTGAATTTTTCATGAAAAAAAGTTCGATTTTTTTAAATCACAAGTTGTAATTTATATGAAACAGATAAAGATTATCGATATAACGCGTCAAATGCAATATGTATCTAAACTTTTTTTAGCTAATTAATTTTTGCAATTATAATTGTATTTGTGATTTAATTTCGGCTATTGCAACATCAATTTTCATTGTAATAATTTTGATCTAGAGTCAATTTTAACAATCAACGTCCATATAAGCGATTATTTTGATTTCTGGAATCAACAATATATATATGCGATGAAAGCATGAGCGAAATATTTTTTTAATTTAATGACCTACCATCAGAGACAATAATTTAAAATAGTTTTAGTATTCATTGTAATGATACTGTATGAAGATGACTTAATAGAAAATCGAATATATGTTTATATATGTTTATATATTTTATATTTTTATTAAAAAACATTAATTTTTAAAGATTATTTTTTCACATCAAGATCCTGTGTAGGCTTTTATGCCTATTTATAAATAATAATTTGATTTATTCATAAAGCCGTTTTAACTTATATTAATTTTTTATGCTCAAGTTTAGTTATACGTTTCAGACTGCCAAACGGTCACATCAACTTTGAGAAATTCTGGCAATTAGCGAAACAAGTGACCGAATTTATCGCGTGGAAACAAGTTGCCTGTCCATTCGAGAAGAATCCGCGTGTCATTGCCTTCCTCCAAGCGAGCCCCGTACTCACAGAAAATAGTAAGAAATATTCATTCTGTTCCGTTGTGAATGCGAAGATATGAAATTGTTTCATTTTTAATTTTTTTTTTTTACAGCACTTGCATTAGCATCTTTTGAATGTGAGCCGCCCGATAATAATCCAGAAAAAGAACGTTATAAAGCTTTAAAGTGAGTATATATAATTGAAACATTATTATTGAAACATTATTATTGAGACACAACATTCTTTTGGATATAGCTATTATTATAATTATTCATAATCGTTTGTGTATTAAAAAAATATATACATACTATTACTATATACTTATATTAATGTACATATGTATATAGGGTTTAATATGTTATTCAGCCTTAATTATTAATATTAAGCTCTTTCTAATATGCCTATGAGTATCAAATTATAAAATTGCTTGTCAATTTAATTTATGATATTACTATTGTACAATTGGGTTTGCGTTTTAAGATGGAAAAATCAATTCAGCGTACAGTTTAAATGACTAGGTTTATAATTCATATCGAACTATTTAAGCATCTAAGATTCATCTTAAGGGCATTTATTTTCTATTAGTTTTGAATTTTAAAAAACTCATTCTTGCAGAAAAAATAATATAAAACTTTTGTATTGCAATTAAAACTCATATTATGTAAGCAAGAAATAAGTATTCTTTACAATTGTATGTTATAGGTCTGAGATGAATGCCCAGTGAAAGCAAGCTATGCCGAAATATACTGAATGGGAACGATATTGATATGAATATATATGAAGATACATTTATAAATATTAATATATTCGTAATTATAGTTAGTTTATATGCAGAGATGATAAGAAGAAAAATGAAAAATGGATGATAAAGCAACAGTGAATTAAAGTATTACTAGGGCAACTTACATGAAATTAAGTATTTCTGTCTTGCGAATTTATCATGAGAGAAGAAACTCTTAATAACATTAAATCTCAATTTGGCGTTTTCAAGAATATCATCTAATCGATCAAAACAACTGCACTAATTTTTCTATTGCACTTTTTTAAAATTATAGATATGTTTGAAAAAGAGAAAAGAAGGAGGAGTAATTTTGATTTTTTAATAGTCAAACTACTTTGACCGTTTGCAAATATCGAATTATCATGACAAGAAACATTATCTGTGCAATACAAAGGTAATGAATTTCATTTAAGATTTAATCAACAAGATTGTTAATCAATTGATTGCATCTAAATAATGTTAAAATTGTTAATAAATGAGATTGTACAGGTCGATCGATTTTGATGAATATTCGATTTAATAAAATATCGAATTTAAAATTTTCGAACATCTTGGTGATTAAAACTCTTTATAATTAATATGGCGTGAATATAAAGTTGAGGACATCTCGAAAATGATTATGAAATTCGCTTGACAATGTCACATAGCTATAAGTATAGTTCCTAAGCTTTTGGCTCGTCGGAATCGTTTTTCTCGAGCGAAAACCAAACCGCGATTCTTTATTTTTTCGGATAATTCCGGATATAAACCGGAAATTCTTGGATTCACTCGAAAGAGACGCGATCGGCGCGTTGAACTTTTGTATATAATCCTTTTGATATACGCTAACAGACTCCTAGATATAAGAGGTAGGGTCGTTCCTGTAGAATAAGCTTGTAAGTAAATGATAAGTTCGAAAGGTATATCGTAAGGATCGTCGTACACGTACTTAAGAGGTTGAGAAACTAATTACAAGGACGGTCAATCGAGGCTAGAAAAATAAAAAAGTAAAAAATTTCGGCAATACCACACGACTCTACCGTGAACTCGAGTTGTGTTTGATATATTAATTCTATACAAATAATAATCACTTTTTTTTTGTTTCTCCTGTGACGCACGCGAGTATAATCTATGAATGAAAAATTGCGCGAATAGAGCTATATGCGGTATAATAATTGAAGTATATTCGGTTGCAACTATCTTGTATGTATTTTCATAAAATATCTCCAAATAAAATTGGAGAAACAAATTGCTAAAACATTTAACACACTGTGGGCATAAAATTATTCTTGTGGATTATAACGTAATATATTGCAGATTTACGAAAATTTACATTTATTTTCCTTCAACATTTATTACTATAATTTAATTTACAAATGACTAATTAAAAGGTGTTATAAATTTAGCAATGAAATATGTTTATATGAATCAAAGTACTGAATGCCACAAAAATGAAATTATTGTCAAAAATTAACAAAACTTGGCTTTTCCCTGGACGAATTGGGTTCGGCATTAATTAGCGTGATCAATAAATGTAAATGTATAGAATGCCGTGCCTTCAATTAAATATAACAGAAGTTAATTGGATGCACAATTTACAAATTATGAAATATTATGAGAAATAATTATGAAATATTGAATGTCAAAGATGTGTTCGTAACCCGTGCGTCGCTGTTTGTCGCGAACTCATGTAATTCTTCTATTAATTCATAATTCTCTCTCTCTCTCTCTCTCTCTCTCTCTCTCTCTCTCTCTCTCTCTCATAATTATATAAATTTATAATTTATTAATCTTAACTAAAACTATCCGAAGAGTTATGATTTTGCTAATATATTATAGTTTTGCTTAATATGCTAGATAAATTTTCTATTTTTTTTTTGTATTTAGGCAGATATTTGCTCAGATAAATTCGAAAAAAGAAGATACGTGTTTCCAAAGAATTATAGGGACCAAAAGTTCGTTTCTCCTGAATACGTAAATTTATCTATGGCATGACAAAATGTCGAGAAATTTCGATGACATGTTTAAAAAAAAGAAATAAAATGGACTGTTTTGAAATTCACTCACTGCGCGTTACAACTTCACAGCCTGAGAGAAAAATTGTAAATTGAAATCACGATCTCATTTAACTGAAAGAGATACACACGTATTGCTTAAAGAAATAATAACGTTATATTTAATGCAACAATTAATTTGTATGTTACGAAACAATGTATGTTACGAGAAAAAACATTTTTTTGATTTCTTTCGTTCCTTATTTATTTCGTTTATTTCTATTTAGTCCTTAAAAATTTATATCCGCTCTCATTTTTTTCTGAGATCAATAAAATAATCGATATTGCTCAGTTAAAAATATTAATAGTTGTATTAATATTAGTAGTTGTTTCTCATTGACGAGGATACTTTTTATTGCATTTTTCATACACATTATCGAGGA